ATAATTTTTCCCCTTTATTCCCCCCCCCCCAAAATCTAGGTGCGTCCTATAGGGCAAAAAATACGGCAACTCTCATGTATGCAAAGGATTACAGCTTAAACTGCCATTGATTAACAGCAGCAACTTTCATTTAGGGGGTCAGGCACGGACTTTGGATGCAGCAAGTTGAGTCAAACAAGTTCAGTTATCTGGTGAAGTGGGCTCCAGGAATGGATGCAGGAGAAACCTGGTTAAATTTGCATGTGAAGATGAACCTACCTAATTTGCACTTTCTGGAACAATAAGGAAACAGAAACACAACCTTCAAAATTCTCACTTCTCCAAATTCTGCAATGCTGTTGTCCAGACAAGTAACATACAAAAATGGAAGGGACGCGGGTGGCGCTGTGGGTTAAAGCCTCAGCGCCTAGGACTTGCCGATCGAAAGGTTGGCGGTTCGAATCCCCGCGGCGGGGTGCGCTTCCGTCGTTCGGTCCCAGCGCCTGCCAACCTAGCAGTTCGAAAGCACCCCCGGGTGCAAGTAGATAAATAGGGACCGCTTACTAGCGGGAAGGTAAACGGCGTTTCCGTGTGCTGCGCTGGCTCGCCAGATGCAGCTTTGTCACGCTGGCCACGTGACCCGGAAGTGTCTGCGGACAGCGCTGGCTCCCGGCCTCTTGAGTGAGATGGGCGCACAACCCTAGAGTCTGTCAAGACTGGCCCATACAGGCAGGGGTACCTTTACCTTTACCTTTACCTTAACATACAAAAATGCAAATCCTGGGGAAAATTGTACCTATAACTGCATACGTTAGTGAAAACACCATAGAAAACGCATAGTACAGTGGTACCTCAGGTTAAGTACTTAATTCGTTCCAGAGGTCCGTACTTAACCTGAAACTGTTCTTAACCTGAAGCACCACTTTAGCTAATGGGGCCTCCTGCTGCCACCGCGCCGCCGGAGCACGATTTCTGTTCTCATCCTGAAGCAAAGTTCTTAACCTGAAGCACTATTTCTGGGTTAGCGGAGTCTGTAACCTGAAGCGTATGTAACCCGAGGTACCACTGTATTGGGGAAAACTGCTCTGCAAAAATAAGTGAATTTGGCAAAATTGCATACACCAAGAGAAATTCACACTAAAATGCTGGTGCATTTTCATGAGGACTTGGAAAATATATATATCTGCAAACACATGCGCTAATGTGGAGAACTGAAGAGGTGAAAAATGAGGAACTCCCAAGAAAATGAAATTGACAAATCCCCAGCTCCAAGCCACAAAGGCGTAAGCCAAAACAAATCTGTTAGCTTTTTAAGATGCTACGGCGCTCCTCTTTGTGTTTGCTGTTAACAGCTTAAAACACATCTCCCTCTGGCATTTGTCAGCAAAGTTTTGGCTCACTGAACCAGGTAAAATGCAAAATTGATGGATTCCCCACTCCTTTTTCCACCATGTTGCTCTGCAGTGTTCACTATAAAAAAAATCTTGTTTCCGCTGCTCCAAAGGAAGGATCATTTCCTTTAAAACACAGCCACAGCTTTGCCCGGTCCCATAAAGCTTTGGTGTGTTCCAGATGAGCACTTTCAGCTGCAGGTATCAGCCCGGCACAGTTTTTCAAGGTTTCTCTGCTTCCTGTTGGAGAGAACTGAAGGATGGAGGCCGCCCGCCCGCCCCCCCCCACTCCGCCCCTGCTTCTAACAATTCACATCAACATTCCATCTGGCGGAAGAAAACATCTGCTAAAATATTCCCACTGCTGAAGTGGACTTGATGAAAATGATTGCAGGTTTTGTTTCGGACCCCTGGCTCCTTCCCTCCCGAGAGACTCGGCAAAGGAAGATCGGGAACCCAATCACAACACACAAAAGAGTTCATTATGACAAAGTTAACGCACAACGCTCCTCACACCCACGTCTAAACAAGCTTCACTTTTAATATACAGTGGTACCTCGGGTTAAGAACTTAATTCGTTCTGAAAGTCTGTTCTTAACCTGAAACTGTTCTTAACCTGAAGCACCACTTTAGCTAATGGGGCCTCCTGCTGCCGCTGCACAATTTCTGTTCTCATCCTGAAGCAAAGTTCTTAACCCGAGGTAATATTTCTGGGTTAGCGGAGTCTGTAACCTGAAGCATATGTAACCTGAAGCATCTGTAGCCCAAGGTACCACTGTATCCAGAGATCAGGTTGTGGGGGGAGAACCAAAAGAACCGGATTACAGTGGTACCTCAGGTTAAGAACTTAATTCGTTCCGGAGGTCCGTACTTAACCTGAAACTGTTCTTAACCTGAAGCACCACTTTAGCTAATGGGGCCTCCTGCTGCCGCTGCGCCACCGGAGCATGGTTTCTGTTCTCATCCTGAAGCAAAGTTCTTAACCCGAGGTACTATTTCTGGGTTAGCGGAGTCTATAACCTGAAGCGTATGTAACCTGAAGCGTATGTAACCCGAGGTACCACTGTATTTTTTAATTTTTTTAAGGAAACAAAGGAGCAAGCCTCAACCCAACCTATTGGCTTAAATTGCCACTCAGCAAACCTTCATTGACAGTTCCTCATGGCCTCCTACCACTCCCCAAATCTCAAGTCTTTCAGATTTAAGTACTCTTCCTTCCCCATTTCTTTGGAGGGAAGGGGATGGGGAAATTGCATGCTATTAAAAGATGCAGCGACGCCTCTTGTACATATATGTATCTGAGAGCGCACAAAACACTACCGCCAGCTGAATTTCAAAAAGATGTTCTGCCCTCCTCTGAAAGAGAATGCTGCAATCTTCTCCAGGAACAACCTCGCCCACCAACATGGACACCAACATGGCTGAAGTGACTAGAGATTACTTGCGTCAACAACAACAACAACAACAGAGACCAGTGGTTCAAACACTGGAGGAGAAAGTGTTGTGAGCCATCCTTTGAGCCTCAGAGATTTGTGCATCAAAGGGAGCGTCATATTCCACTGAATAGGCGCAATCATGCACAGGCACACACATAAAACAATCTTACTGAACTCTCATCCACACTTTCGCTTATCCCACATCTTCATCCGCTGGTCCTAGGCCTCCTAGGCATGGGTCCAAGAGGATTTCCTCTTGCCCCACTGAATTCCCAGGGAAAACCCGCTGTTGGGATCGGAAGAAAGTCAATCCGCAGAACCCCTGATTTACACTTGTTCCGATCCAGCGATAAACGGCGTGTTTTCCCGTGGAATGCGGTGGAGCAAGAGAAAAGCTTCTCAGATCCATGCCTAGGAAGCATGGGACAAGCGCAAACACGGACATAAAACAGGCTGGCGTAAATTAAGCTGGAGTGAAGTTAAACCAGGTCCAAACTTGGTGGGGCTATGGCTGGCCTAAGCACGGCAGAGGTTAAGACAAGCTTTTAAGACAGTGTTTTGAGGTACACCACCCTGTTGTTGGGTTATCTCATGCCAGGCCACATGACTGAGCTGAGCAGCAGTAGGATCCTACCCAAGTCCTCCCTCTGGTCCTGCCCGCAGCAACCCCCCCCATCCAAAATGCCCCCTTTTCAGATCCGCCACGAGGAGGGAGACACATGGGCCTATCTCTGGCTGATATGATAGTTAAAGAGTTCGCATGGCATAGCCTGGCTGCCCCGGGACACTCCCAGCTCACCCAGAGATCTGCTGGATCCCAACCTGCTCATTCCGGAAGATCTGGCTACAGAGCTGCTCCCCAAGTGCCCATCTAGCCCAGCAGTGTCAATTCTGACAGGCAGCAGCTCTGCAAAGGGACAGACATGAGATCCATTCCAGCCACCCTACCCAAGAGATCCTGTGAAGCGGAGAATTGAACCTGGGCCGCCTTCCAGAGAGAATGTGCACGTTCAAACCACAGAGTTACAACCCTTCCCAGTTTGGAATTTATATTATACACACAGATCTTGACCATAAGCTTTGCTGCAAGGAAAAAACAGAGCACTGCTTGCCAGTGGTACAAAGAAAACACAACCCCTTGCCTCCCGTCAGCAGACTCGGAGGAGAGATGGGAAAGATATAATCCTCCTTTGCCAGCCCTCGTGGCAGAAGGCAGCATATTTCTTTACCAGCCTGCTAAGAGGCTAAGAATCTTGTTTCCACTAGTGTAAAAATAACAAGACGGTTTGAAAGTCTCCAGGCTTTATATACACAAAACGGCTATATGAAACACCAAGTACAGAAAACTGCTGCCCTATTGAACTTCGGGCCTCATTTAATGGATCACACCGAGATCCACCTGATCTAGTTTCTTGTTTCCCAACAGCTGCTAAATGCCTCTGGGAGATTAGGAGACATTGAGCTGGTACGGCCTTTTTGCAGCTTGTCCCAAACACCCAATATTCAAAGGTAAAACCCTCTTTCTCCTTTTCCAAGCAGAAGGGATAAATATCAGCAAACCATGGTGTTCTGTGAACCATATCTGCTTGATGACCTCCCCTGGGCCTTCAGAAGACGCAGCGCTGGAGAGAAGGTGCAGAACTCAACAAAGGGAGCATTAATGGTCCCAGTTTATCATCATCACGGTCTATACACATATGCTCCCCATTGGCATTTGAACCCCACCTTGGGGAGGCTTTCCGCTGCGCAGTTTGGGGCTCCGCACAGCGCGAGGCTCCCTCTCTTTTCCAGCATTATTATTGTAATTAAATGGTTCCATTTCGTCTTAATTAGAAGAATTCCCAGGGGACTCTGGGAAATCTCAGAAAAGGAGGCTAGCAATGCACAGCTCAGCGTCTTGCAGAGCGTTTTTTCTGCCTCCGTAGTAAAAGCACGCAGCAATTCGTTTTTTGGAAGGGGGGGATGCTGTCAATACTAGGCAGGGCTCCTGCATCTGCATGGAAGGGGGTGTCCTCGCCGAGGCAAGCTCCCCTTCCACAACCACCCTGTTTTTCAATGCAGGTGGCAATGAATGCAATGCAAGGGAGCAGCAATGCTCAGGCGAGGGATTTGTCAAACGTGGCGGGGCTTTTATTGGGGGGGCGTAGGGGGTGGTTTTTGCACATTGCGCCCCCAATGCTCGAGTCTCCCTTACCTTCATGTCACTGATGGTGGTCTGGAAGAGTCCTCCGAGCGCGCTACATTCCTTTTCGATCACAGCCTCCATTTTTTCCTCGCCCGGATCAAGGAGGACGCCGAAGAAACTGCTGCGGATTCGCAAGCCCCCCAAAAATAAAAAATAAAAATGTACACACGCGACCCACCCCTACTTATTTCAATTCCTATCCTTCGGGGAGGGAGCAGTCAAAATCAGAGATTTCTCTGAAAATAAAATAAAAATAAAGACTTCAATCTCAAAAGCAGCAGAGCCGCTTCTCTTTCGCTTCTGAGCTTTTCTCTAACGCTGCCCACCAATGTTATTCGGTTTGTCTCTTGCAGCGCCTATAGCAACCCTGCCCTGGAGAAAAAAGTCCCACGGCTGGACGAAATCAAGACATCTCTATCCCCCGCACACAAAGATAGCAACAAGGTCCATCGTTCTCCATTCTTGCTCATGCCCCCCACACAACAAGTAGGTAGGTTGCGCGATGGAGGCTGGGGAGAGGAGCAAAGCCGGGCAGCTGGCGGCTTGCAAAACGCCTCGGCTGCAGCAAAGGAGGCTTCACTCAGCTGCCTCCGACAACAGACCCCCTCCCTCGCAAGCAAGTACTCTTGGAACAGCTGCAGACCCGATTTTGCGGGGGGGGGAGAATGCAAAAAGAAAAATGTTTTTTAAGAAAACGACTAAATCTGCTTTTCAAAAAAGAAAGTAAACGCCGCTCAAAAACCCTGCGAAATTCAGAATTAAACAACCCCGCCTTAAAAAAAAAAGCCTATTTATTGCATCGAATGCATCAATAGAAAGAGAGGGAACACCGGCGCTCGTATTCGCAGGCACCAGAGCTGCTGCTGCTGCTGCGTTTTGGATTAAACGCAAATAATTATAATAATGGTCGGAATCTGCGGCAGCTAGCGAATCAAAACAAAGAAAAGCCCCCTTCCCCTCCCCAAATGCCTAGCCGCGTGCCGATTCCTCGGCTTGCAAAAAAAATTAAAAATAAAAATCCACCCAGCCTCCCTGCCTCCGACGACGACCGGGCTCTCTCTCTCCCCTGGCCGTGCTCCCCACACCGCGGCAAGGCTGCACCCAGGCGCGCGCTCCAGCGGCGGCTCGAGCCTCAGCGCAGAGCCTTTGGAACCTTGCTTCCCCGGGAAGGCGCGTCACGAGCGCAGAATGCCCGGGCCTCGGCCGCTGATTGGCCGAAGAGGGGAAGGAGCGGGCGGGGAAGGGTTAAGGCGCTCTCTCGCTGCCTCTCTAGCGCCGCCTTAGGGTCGCGCGCTGGTCCGTGGGAGCTCCGGGGCCCGTCTCTGCAGTGCCGAACCTCCTAAGGAGTTTCTGCAATACTGTAAATAGTATTTTTAAAAAGGCTTCCCGCTCAGATTTTCATTAACTCAATAAAAGAGCGTTTAAAAATATTTCAGGTAATTAGACTTAACATATACATATAACATAACCATAGCTGTCAACGTTTCCCTTTTTTTAAGGGAAATCCTCTTATTCCAAATAGGATTCCTCGCAAGAAAAGGGAGAAGTTGGCAGCTATGAACATAGCATAACAGAGGCATACACTACATATGTGTATGTATGCATACCACCCAACATTTCTCCAATGAAAATAGGTATGACCTATTCCATTTTTTTAAAAAAAATATTTTCTGTATACTCCATCTGTCTGACTGGGTTGCCCCAGCCAATCCTGACAGCTTCTAACATATATATGTATATTTAACAGAATAAAAAATTACACATTAAAATGCTTCCCTTTACAGGGCTGCCTTCAGATGTCTTCAGGGTGTATAGCTACTTATCTCCTTGGCTTGGCAGCCCATAACTCCTTACCCTCCAACATTTCCCTGATGAAAATAGGGATGTCCTTAGGAAAACCAGACATTCCATGATCAAATCAGAGACCAGGATGGCTTCTTTAAATCCGGTACTGTCCCTGGAAAATACGGGCGCTTGGAGGGTCTGGTGTATGTGTGTGTACTTGTTGTTTAGTCATCTCAGTCGTGTTCGACTCTCCGTGACCCCTTGAACCAGAGCATGCCTTGGAAACTCTCACTTTCTTTTCAAAGCTGCTCCTTTTTTTTATGTCCATGGAGTTTTCTTGGCAAAATACTGGAGTGGTTTGCCAGTTCCTTCTCCAGGTGGATCACATTTAGTCTAAACTCTCGGCTATGACCTGTCCATCTTGGGTGGCCCTGTATGGCATAGCTCATAGTTTCTCTGAGTTATTCAAGCCCCTTCGCCAAGACAAGGCAGTGATCCATGAAGGGGATGTGTGTGTATACATATAGATAAATAGATAGTCTGGTATTCTCATATTCCCTATGTAGGAAGTAAAAAGGTAAAGGGACCCCTGACCATTAGGTCCAGTCGTGGCCGACTCTGGGGTTGCGGCGCTCATCTCACTTTATTGGCCGAGCGAGCCGGCGTACAGGTCATGTGGCCAGCATGACTAAGCCGCTTCTGGCGAACCAGAGCAGCACACGGAAATGTCGTTTACCATCTCGCCAGAGCAGTACCTATTTATCTACTTGCACTTTGACGTGCTTTCGAACTGCAAGGTTGGCAGGAGCAGGGACTGAGCAACGGGAGCTCACCCCGTCGTGGGGATTCGAATCGCCAACCTTCTGATCGGCAAGTCCTAGACTCTGTGGTTTAACCCACAGCGCCACCCGCGTCTACATCCAAATCCTCTACACAGCACCAGATTTAGGATGGTGCAAGCAGTCCTGTCCCCCGCAGGTGCTGACCTGAGGGGGTGCAATTTATTACTGTATATCGGGGAACAAATTTCATCCTTGCTCAGGACGCTGTATTGCCAAAGTCTGCCCCTGCTTTACATATGATATATAGAAGTGCTTAGCATAAAAGAAAAGGGGATGATGAGCTCGACAGACAGATAAATTGGAGAGTAGATTTATGGAGAGTAATGAATTAAAAGGGTGCTGTGTAGACAAATCTAAATTATTCGAGTGTTACCCTTGTCCAATAAACACAAGCACATGTAATTTCTATTCTGTGCAACCTGTTGAGAGCCAGTGTGGTGTAGTGGTTAAGAGCAGTAGTCTCCTAATCTGGGGAGGTTCGCGTCTCCGCTCCTCCACTTGCAGCTGCTGGGTGACCTTGGGCCAGTCACACTTCTCTGAAGTCTCTCAGCCCCACTCACCTCACAGAGTGTTTGTTGTGGGGGAGGAAGGGAAAGGAGAATGTTAGCCACTTTGAGACTCCTTAAAGGGAGTGAAAGGCGGGATATCAAATCCAAACTCTTCTTCTTCTTCTTCTTCTGTTGTATAAATCCAGGAATGCATCCAGCTTTGCTATAGAGTTGTGTAATCTTCATCGTTTCTGAGCTTTGTTTGGTTCGTTCAACGCAATCCCAGTTCCACCTTCTGCAAAGAACTGATGTCGTGCCAGATTTGCAGTGCGCAGGTGAATCTAGAGATTGGCTGACACCAAAAATAGTATTTTATGGATCGGGCCCAGCAGGCAGAGAGTCATGCACACATGTGAATAAAGTTGGCGACTCTGGCCTTGTTTCGCAAGTCCTCCTTGCTTCCAAGTTTTAGCAGCCCCAGAGGGAAATCAGCCTTCATTATTTATTGCCCAAGTTCATTAAGCCCAGGTGTGGGAATTAGGAAATTTATCGGTGCAATCTAAGTGCCTAGAGCAGAGAATAAGGAGATTATAGACGTAAAAACAATACTGCCTTTGCATGAAATGTTGTTCCTTTGCCAGGTGAATCACAGTAGCTCAGGAACACGTAGCACAAGGATATAGATGGTATTCAGCGAAGTTCCTCTCAGAGTAAACCTTGAAATGAATGGGCCTAACTTCTTGTTGTTTAGTCGTTTAGTCATGTCCGACTCTTCGTGACCCCATGGACCAGAGCACGCCAGGCACTCCTGTTTTCCACTGCCTCCCGCAGTTTGGTCAAACTCATGCTGGTAGCTTCGAGAACACTGTCCAACCATCTCGTCCTCTGTCGTCCCCTTCTCCTTGTGCCCTCCATCTTTCCCAGCACCAGGGTCTTTTCCAGGGAGTCTTCTCTTCTCATCAGGTGGCTAAAGTATTGGGCTCATTAATTTCAAAGGGTATACAACTTAGTCAACACCACCCTATGTTCACACACAAAACCCACATTTATTTATTTTATTTTGGAAACCACCTCTATCTTCCAAAGATCTGTAACATGGTGTAACATGGTTCTCCTTCTCCCCATGTCATCCTCACAACAATCTTGTAAAGTAGGTTAGGTTAAGAGATGGTGACTGGCCCAAGGTCACCCAGTCAGCTTCATGGCTGAGTGGGGATTCGAACCCTGAACTCCCGGGTCCTAGTCCAACACTTTAACCATTACACCGCGCTGGCTTGGATGCCTAAGGAGGTGGACTGTAAGAACACAAAAACCTGCCAGTTTAATGGATGTTAACTGGCTGATGCTCTCCTGAGGTGCCAGGCAGAAGTCTTGTCCATCATCTGCTACAGGAACTTTCTAACTGAAGATGCCAGTGATTGAACCTAGAACTTTCTATATGGAAATCAAATGTTCTGCCGTTGAGCTATCAATCCTCTCTGTTTTCTGAGGGGGCATCTGAGCAAGGCAACATATGATCTTGCATGCCTCGTGGCCTAATTCAGGGGTTGCCAACATAGTGCCCCTGGGCACCAGCACATCTGCCAATACCTCACATAGTGCCCACAAAAGATATCAGCAAATATCCCTCAAAAATCAGCAATGCATGATTTTTTGACTCTGAACTGCCTCTGCCTCTCCTGCAGTTGCCCACAGCAGCCATTTTGTGTTACGCCACATCCCCCAAGACAGCCATTTTGCGATTGGTGCCACCGCAAATGACCCATAAATGTTGGTGACCCCAAACCTAATGCATGTTTTTCCACTGTAAACTATGTACTTGGCCAGAAATTGGGAGACCTTGCTAAACTTACTCCAGCATTTTTGTTGCTGTTATTCAAGCAGTGTTGTAAGATGAAGACCCAGGGAAGAATTCTGTATCTTGAAAAAAACTGTGTAAACTAGTAAAGGAATTTTACAAAGCACGCATAGGTCCACAACTGTGCAGTCTGGTCCTTTTTCATATTTACTCAGAAAATCCTGCTGACTTAAAACGGTAGTGTTCCTAGGATTGCAGCCTTGGTTTGAAATTTGCTTACCGTCATCAGCCTGGTTACTGTTTTAACTTTAAAAACAGTTTATATAAACAGACTGTCCTGAGTCAGAGTTTATGTAAGACACTTGCCAATAATGAAAATTTGCCCGGTGGCAGCAGATGTCATTGAGGAGTAACTGAGGGAAACATTTCAGGCAACGCTGTGGAGATAAGATTAATTCTGTATATAGTATTGGGAAATCCTGGCTCCATTGAAATCATAACTGGCAGTGGGCTTCACACTTCTCTGCAAACAAATCCTTCTGCATAACATCTAGCTGCAAGTTAAGAGTGACCAGGTGCAAACAGTTGAGGGCTCCTGCTTCTGTAATGCTTGTGTGGAAAAGGAAATTTCAGCTGGTGCCTCTTGCATGACAAGCCACACCTGCTGGAATTCCCTCTTCCACACACCTGCTCCTGGTGCAAGAACCCCCACCTGTTTGCACCTGGTCACTCAGCTGCTAGTGGTCTAAGGGTTCTTGTCACTTTGTAAAAGCAGTAGAAAGAAGAAACCCTTCACTTTTAAATCAGTGATCAGTGATTTCTTTCCTTAAAAAAGTGTTTAGGGGTACTCTCATTTTCCTACACATATACTGAAATACTGCCCCTCAATGAGGCCAAACTTACCGTAGATTAAAAAAATGTTTAGGGGTATGCATACCTCCCAGAAAAAAGACACTGCTAGTGATGTTTCAATGCCCAGAAAGCTATGTAGCCACTATGTTCTTCATCCTAATAACCAAAGTTAAGAGTAAAAAGGTAACTAGCACAGACGCGGGTGGCGCTGTGGGTTAAACCACAGAGCCTAGGACTTACCGATCAGAAGGTTGGTGGTTCGAATCCCCGCGACGGGGTGGGCTCCCGTTGCTCGGTCCCTGCTCCTGCCAACCTAGCAGTTCGAAAGCACATCAAAGTGCAAGTAGATAAATAGGTACCACTCCGGTGGGAAGGTAAACGGCGTTTCCGTGCGCTGCTCTG